TGTTGCCATATTTTTGTTTGTTGATAATCTACTTGTGTGTAAAATATCATTACATTGGTAGCATTTTTTAATGTTTTTTTTTTATACTTTTCTCTGTAACGCCATAAGATTACGTGTTAAAACCCGGATATTTAAAAATTGATAACTTTTTATTTAAATTGTGAATCGATCTGAAATTTGGCCTCGAACTTTGAAAGAGAATACAAAATATGACATTAAATTTTCATCAACTTCGTAGCATTGTGACAAACTATCCAGAACATTCTTAATTATTGTTACATCATTATATCGTTACAGGTTATCTTATCAATATATAATATACAGGGTGTCCTAGACAACCCGTACACCCCTTTTTTTCAAAAACTAAGCATTTTAGAGAAAAACGTTTTGAACAAAAATTGTATGGTTTTGAGGGGAACATAAGATGGTGTCATTGGTTTGACCTTGGATGGCATCGTTAAGGTCAAGTCAAGGACACCTTTAATTTCTTAAATGGAATTCCCTATTTTTTATTGCATATTCTTATAGCTTATCCCGAGAGCTTTCCAAAACACTATAATAAAGTATTTTTTTATTAAGTACTTTTTGAGTTATTCTATATTTTAATCTGACATATGTTGATATAAAAAATAAAATATCTCGTAAAATATTTAGTTTTCGATAATCTTACCGTAATACTTTTATGTACAGAATAATGAGACAAATCATACCCTGTATATTGGTAAGATAACCGGAATGACACTGAATGTCTTCCCGAAACGTACTTCACAGTACTCGACAAACTCTCCAAAATTTAATTTACTCAACTAACTTTAATAAAAAACACTGAATATTCTGTAATTTGTTACATGATCTTATACCGTCCTGAATGGAGGAAAAAAACTCATACTTCAAATGTATCGTTCTAATTTTAATTGAATCGACGAAAATGTATAAAACGCTGAATGCTATTTTTTAACGTATGTTAATTTATTATTATAATTTCTCGATGTCCATTATTTATTTTTTTATTTTTTTAACTAACTTGACAACATTATTTATTATTGTATTTGTTTATATATGCCGTATTTATTTGTATATTACTTTTATATTTCATCCCGATGTCCTTTTTTCTTTATTTATTATTTTAACCAATTTGACAATATTATTTATTACCGTATTTATTTATATGTGCCGTTATGATACCTTTAGAACAGTGCTTGGATTTAGTTGCACATTTCGGCCCGATTCCGTGGCTCACGCCTAGTGCCCCCCATTCACCGCTCATACGTTAGCGACGAGTCGCCAGATACGCGTAACTAAGGAGCGCGAGATTTTTTGTTATCTATAATTTTTGACTTTTTCACAGCGATGTCTATTATTTATTTAGTCATTTGTTTTTAAGTGATTCTATTACCGTAATGTCAACCTCTAATTGTTTGCGACGTTTGTTGTTACCGTTTGACAACCTTATTGTATCGTTAAAAACCGTAGTGTTAGGTTCTAATTAGATATCCCAGTTGATCTTCTCGTGCAATGTATCCGAACACTTTGGTATGCGTAAGTAGTTCAAAAAATTATTGCATGTGCGCTCTCTCTCACATCGTCAGCCTCATAAACCTTTTACATATTTATACATATTTACAGACATCTGGAAATGTGGCTTACAACTTTGCTGGTACATTTTGTCCTATCATCAGCACTAATGCGTCTAGATATACCGGTCTGTCTCGTTTGTGACGATGTTGAGAGATCTCTACACTTTTTATTCATTGATTATTAATTTTTTATTTATTTATGTATATTTATTTATTTTTAATAACTGACTCATATACTACGAACCGATTAGGAATATGCTATTTAAACCCGTGCATTGAGGAAGGCTCAAAGAAAGAACCGAAACGTCCGCTACCCACACATGTATGTTTTACATTGCATGTTTAAAATAAACTTGTATGCGCCCAAATAACTGCGCTTGGCTCATATTGCCAATTTTCATTCGTATTAGATTATTATCTATAGAGCCTTATACTTCTAATTTAAACTTGTTTAAGTAGTCAGAACTTTTTTTTACTAACCGGGCGACGGGAAAGGTCAATAACCTTGACCTCCTTAAAGGTCAAGGTGAACGTCAAGGTCAACGGGAAGTCATTCGAGATAGGGTGTGTAAAGGTAAACATTGACCAAATTACGTTTTATTTAGTAAACTGTTTTTGGGGTGATTACGATAATTACGGCCCCCTATTTCAAAGGTCGTTTCTGAAGACATTTTTGACGAGGAACACGGGAAAAATAGTAAACAAAATTTCCGACCAATAGTTTTCGAGATATATCACTTTAAAGTATTGGACATGATAATAAAACTTTATAAAAACGGACTCAACGATGTTGACCTTGACGTATGTTGTCAAGAACATGATCCTGAGTAACTTTTCCTTATAACTTAATCGGCGGTCTCTTATAATTTTTGAGATATTTAAAGTTAAAGTTTAATTCAAAACGAAAATTTGGTTTGGGTTATATAACGTGGGTTGGAGATGGGTTGAGTTAGATTAGTTTTTCTTGGGGAGGGGGTGCAGGGAGAGGGGCGACACCTCTCTTCCGCCCACGCGTACGATTTTTCTAGATATAAATAAATAAATGTGTTAAAAAGATATTTTATAAAACATACATAGTGTTTGAAAATTATATATAATTATATGTAAACAAAAATTAAACAAAAATTAAAATAAATAAAAAATTAAACAAATTTTAACAAAAAAATGTCTATAATATGTTGATTACTTTCGAAAACTGAATATAAGCATCTACTAATAGTAAGAGCAATGAGAATTTTATGTTTATGTTCAAAAAACGTAAACAACGCAAGACATTGGTAGTACATACGATTCTAAGCTACACATGGAAGATACTCGCGACAGTGATCTTCACAACATATGTCAAGGTCAAGGTCATTGGGTCCGTTTTGTAACGTTTTATTATCATGACCAATACTTTAAAGTGATATATCTCGAAAACTATTGGTCGGAAAATTTTTTTACTATTTTTCTCGTGTTTCTCTTCAAAAATGCTTTCAGAAACGACCTTTCAAATAGGGGGCCGTAGTTATCGTAATCGTGCCAAATAAAATTATACTCTCGCACGAGATATAACAATCGTGCTATAAAAAGAGGCAATGTCCACAGAAAAATGAATAAATTGTTAAACAGATAAAAATATTGAGAACAAGATTGTAGCAGGAAAGCTAGAAAGAAAATAACCATTTTGAGCATCATTTTTTTGAAAATATTAAAAGAATTTTTGAGATATTTAAAGTTAAAGTTTAATTCGAAACGAAAATTTGGTTTGGGTTATATAACGTGGGTTGGAGATGGGTTGAGTTAGATTAGTTTTTCTCGGGGTGGTGGTGCAGAGAGAAGGGCGACGCCTCTCTTCCGCCCACGCGTACAATTTTTCTAGATATAAATAAATAAATGTGTTAAAAAGATATTTTATAAAACATACATAGTGTTTGAAAATTATATATAATTATATGTAAACAAAAATTAAACATGTTTTTGTTAATAACTTTTTAATAAACGACGAGCGACGCTTAAAACTTTTTGGAGGATACTCAGGACAGTGACCTTGACAATATATGTCAAGGTCAAGGTTATTGGGGCTGGTCCCCTTTTCGGTATATTTACCTTAAAATGCATTTTATTTTTATTAACGGAAACCTGATTTTTAAAATAAGTACAATTTTGAATAGTATATCACAAATTACACTATTATAGAGTTTATTAAGTGTGTTATATACTATAATATCAAATCATATTGTTGGTGTTAAGTGTGATTAGAATTCTTTTGATTTGCAAAGTATGTCTTACAGGATGTATCATTTGAAAAAAAATTTTTTGCGAACCTAAGCCCATAAAACAAACTTACACCAAAGCAAAGTATAAAAACTTGGCGACGAGACGGTCATTTATTTCAGCGACTCGTATGCTCGTATTTACATATGACAAATTGCTCGTAATATTTTCGTCAATACTCATATCGATGTCTATTATCGATGTTTATTTCGTTGTTTCGCGATGCGCGGAACATATTATTAAATCTTTTATGCACCGACAATCACAATAACTGATTCATATATTTATGGATACAGATCAAAATTAATATGATAACATCCATGGATATGATACATATCCATGCAAAATTAATTATTCTATTCATCCACGATAACACATCAAAAATTCTGATCATATTTTTTGCAATTATATAATTTTATTAAATATTAAAATTGTAATATTCATCATTATGTAATATTAATAATTATTTTCAAGCGCGCAAATTTTGTATGTGTGTGTGTGTGTGTGTAATATATATTTTTCGTATCATATTTATATACGATATATTCCAAGCATCCATCATTCATTAAATTTACAAAGATCTATTGTATTTGGTATTGTTAATATATTAGTACGATTTTAACACAGCCAGCAATATTTTCAATATTCATACCGATGCTATCGATCACGCAAGAGTGGTCTTAAATGATAAATATTGTTATGCCTCCGGAGAGGCACGGTAGTTAGGATCGTTTGCCGGAAGGAATTTGAGAATTCGGGCTCCGCCCGAGTAGTTCACTGAATTTATTATAATTAAAAATGACACTTTCGTATTCTGAATAAATGTATATATAACTATTTTATTCGTACTTGGTTTAATTACAAAGTCTTCGCACGTCAATATCTCTAAAATACTATATATCTATTAATTCGTGTATAGCCTTTTCGGGCTATAACAATATCATCTCTGTCGCAATCGCATTTGCACGTAACACACGGCATTAGACACATTTCCATGGTATTTCCATTCGAATGATTCTTACAGCAACAATGCGATTTCCGTAAAGAATCGGACCACGGTCAACTGATTCGCTTTCACAGTGCTCGCATGCAATACTAGTTTTATTCTTACGGGATCTACGACGCGAGTATCGAACGGATAAATGCCCGGCGTATTCCTATGAAGTATCACATCACGAAGCATGGAATAAAATCGGCAAAACAAAAGATCGTGGTTGCAGGTGTCGATCGTACCGATGTACATACATGGGTACATTCAACGCACAACGGAGAAAAGGGCGCATTCTTGCATCCACGATTGCGATCTGCAACGATATGACAGATTCCCGTAGGTTATATAGAAAGAGAGAGAGAGAGAGAGAGAGAGAGAGAGAGAGAGGGAGAGAGAGTGAGAGAGGGAGGGGGAGAGAGAGAGAGAGAGAATTATGATATATTAAAAACAATTTATATTTTTCGGTTAAAAGAGAGATACATCGATGCATTTTGCGATACTAAATGCTAAATGTAAAGAATAACAAAATGGCGAAAAATTAATTTTGTCTTTATTGGAACTCATTAAAGTCTACCACATAATGTCCCGTATTAATACAGTTATCGATATTTTTATATCAAACTAAGATTCAATTCCAACATATAATTATATATTTAAATTCAAATCTAATTCGAGTCCTGCAATCTAGAAAAAATTTCGAATTTTAATAAATTATCTTTTGCAATATCTTGATGAAACATTAAGAATTATACATAAATATATAAGGATGCATTACTTTTAAATTTAAATTCCTCGGATGAAGTTTTTGAAAAAATGTGTTATACTCTCATTTTCTCAAATGTATCAGTATACATATGTATATCTTGTATTCGATTTTAATATCGTATATCTTGAAACTTATAAGAAATTTTCTGCACTTTGGCTTATTTAATTTATAAGATATAATAAATATGTCACACACATATAGTGCATTAAAAGTTTTCCAACGAGTATTAAGCAGAAGATAACATAGAAATGCAGTAAGCATTACCTTGTTTAAAAGAAAAACATTTTTCACAAATATATGAGTCAATAGGTTAACAAGATGATATTATGAGCCCATAAAGACTTCACACTTTTTAAATTCTCTCTTATGCATACACACATATCCTTAAAAGCAATTACACACACACACAGATATATACACACATATACACAAGTATTGCAATGATATTGTCGTACATATGTAAGATAATTTTTGTATTTATTAAATATTAGAAGGCACAAGAGAAATGACATAATCAGTCTTATTTATTATGACTCACCAGTTGGACAGTTAATCAACTGTAAGATGAGTGGTCTCCTTGTCACAATGCCTGAACCTCTGGGCAAGAAATCTCTGGAAGAGAAGCATTCATTGTTATGATTGGTCATGATTAAAATTTATATTTTTTTCACAAAAAAATATATGTAATGTGCGGCTAAGTGCTGCTTGAGAACAACGATGAATTAATCGCAATTAATTATTTTAAAGGATAAAATAATATATGTATATAAGCCTAAAATACGGATAGTAATTATTTATTTCATAATATTTTCATTCTCTCTGACAAAAATATACAATACTTGTCTTGTTATCTCAGAAATGATTTGCAATACATATTTCTGCTCCAATAAGTTTTTAATTTCTAGATTCTTTATTATAAATTGGTATTAACAAATTTATATCAGAATTCTTTACATATACACTATAATTTGACAATAACATATAACAAATTAATTTTGCATCATAAAAGTATCTCAAGAATCATTACAAAAATAATCATTATTATAATTTTTATATAAAATATAAAAATATATTTTACTTTTGGCAAATACCAGGAGGATATTAAATATAGATATATAAAATAGAATCAAATATAACGAATAAATAATTTCATCAGATTAAAAAAAAACATTAATTCTTAAATTATTTAATTCTAATTGTTTTAGCGTTTCTACTAAATTTTGTCTTAAATAAACATTTTATATATGTATATATATTGTAATTGTGAATTTTTCGTTTAATCGGAACGTTAAAATGTGGAAACAAGAAATTATAAGGGTGTGAAACCGTCGGTTTAGCGCATGAACGAATGCTCTTTTAAAGTGCTCTAGTGACGAGAAAACATTGACAGGTCGTCTTGGGGGCGTTCTGACGTCGCAAATTCATGCCTGCCCCGTCCGTGTTCATCCATGCTTCACAAAGAGAGAATGATGCATGAGGTGACAATTGTCAAACGATCCTCTTCCTCATCGTCGTTGTCAAACTTTAATATTAATCGAACGACAACGATGTCAATAGGTCGGAAAGTCCCGCGTGTTTTGCCATGCTTAGAACTTACATATCGATCAAGACGTCGGCGCAAAAGAAATCGAAGCAAAAGATCCGTTTTTTGATTCGTTACACTTTTTTACATTCGAAATACAACTAGATATATTTAAAATTTGAAAAAAAAAAAAGAGAAAAAAAATGCCAAAGTGTGTAATTGTAAAGGAAACAGACTTGGAGGAAGGAAAAACACAACCGGTGGCAACGATGTTCATTGATCGTCTTCAGTCGTTTTTATCTACGAAATGATGAGATAAGCACGAGAGAGATGGTGCTCCGATCTCTCTTATCGTCCGTACAAAAAAATTTCGTGCACACGTTTATTCCTGTTATAAGTTCCATTGACCAAGAGTCTGCGAAGGAAGGAGGATACTCAGGAACTATGAGGGGAGAAATATACGTTAAAATGTTAGCTTTTGCGATACTCACTTGCCGATGAAGTTCTCGAGCACGGAGCTCTTGCCCGTGCTCTGGCCACCCACCACTGCGATCTGCGGCAGCTCGAGTTGTATATGCACGCCGAGCTGCGTGAACGCATCCTGCAGCTTGTTCACGATCGGGATCAATTGTTTCATATCCGTGTTGCCCGCTATCCTGCCGTCGAAGTTGTGTAAGCCGCGTTATTGCACTGCTCGGTCGTACACGCACGCTAGTAATCATTTATTTCATGATATTTTCATTCTCTCTGATAAAAATATACATACTTGTCTTGTTATCTATGTTATCTATGGTATCTATGTTATCTCAGAAATGATTTGCAATATATAATTTTCCAATAAGTTTTTAATTTCTGGGTTCTTTATTATAAATTGGTATTAACAAGTTTAATCAGTGTTCTTGCATATACAATATCATTTGATAATAATATATAACAAATTAATTTTGCATCATAAAAGTATCTCAAGAATCATTATAAAAATAATAATTATAATTTTTATATAGAATATAAAAATATATTTTACTTTTGGCAAATACTAGGAGGATATTAAATATAGACATATAAAATAGGATTAAATGTAACAAATAAATAATTTTATCAGATTAAAAAAAAACTAATTCTTAAATTATTTAATTCTAATTGTTTTAGTGTTTCTACTAACAAGGGAACCTCGCGAACCCGAAAATTCTGATTTTGATGAAACTTTATAGACATGTAAAAGGGGTCAATAAATGAATTTAGAAATTTTTAGTTGCTGCCCAAAAACGGTTCTAAGGGATGAAAGTACCCCGCATATGTAGAGCGGCTTTTTGCTTTTCTTGATATATCTCGAAAACTATTCGAAATATCAAAAAATGTTTTATACAAAAATTTTATGGTAAAAGCAGCTCTATTTAACCACATTAATAAAAATTTGAAAAAATTATTTTTTTCAAAGATTTCTAAATTTTTCTTAAAAATTATTTTTTCAAATTTCTATTAATATAGTTAAATAGAATTGTTTTTATCACAAAACTTTTGTATAAAACATTTTCTAATATCTTGAACAGTTTTCGAAATATATTGAAAAAGGCAAAAAGCCATTAGACACATAAAGGGTGATTCCACTCTTCAAAATCGCTTTTGGGCAGCAATGAAAAATTTCTAAATTTATATATTTACCCCCTCTACATGTGTGTAAAGTTTTATCAAAATTAAGATTTGTTCGCAAAGTTCCATTTGCAAATAACTCTTGTAATTTACAGCTCAATAATAAAGATATAAGATATACATATATAAAAAATGACAGCGTCCGATAAAATTATTGCGAGAAGAATTTATTTATTTATTTACTTCCCTACTTACGCGTATTCGTAATAGAAGTCTTGATTATTTTACTTGATTGAACATGTTTCTCCATTCTTTAACTTATGAAAGATTGTATCATCAAATTTTTTTAATATGGAGAATTACTTTGAAATATTTCTGCATTGCAGTGCAACGTAACGCGAAAAAGCATCGAAATGCAACGATATAAATATATTGCGTTTTATATCTCATGTTGTATATTTATATCATGTACATATCGTTCATTTATGCATAACTCTAACGCAAAGTAGTCACGTTGCACCGCAACGTGAGAATATTTTGAAATAATTTTTCTTATTTATAAAATGTTATATAAGGAAGATGTAAATAAGATTAACCAGTTCACTGGTAGACCCGAGATCAACATTTTATGTCAAAACTGGTAAGAGTAAATAATTTCGTATTAGTCATCGACCCGAAAAACGTGGGTGTATCAAGTTTAATGCAAATCCGTTGAAAATTGGCAGAGTTTCTCATGGTGCCCATATATGAATCATTACCAGTTTCGCCACTTTTTTTTCGCCCATATATAAGTCATTACCAGCAAACTGGTTAAGAATGATATAAATAAGATTATAAGACTCTATATAAATCGGAAATATTGCGCGCAGTTTTAGTATAAAGTGTAACCAACAAATTTAACGATTCATTCAAGTGTAAGATTGTCAGAGTTTTAATTTTTGGAAAAAGTGTCTGCATCTTTAATTTAAGCGAAATGTTACATGTGAATCCTGCAAATATTCTTAATATGTTTATTATTCCATTCCAAATTTCAAATATTCCACAAACACAAATAAATGATAAAGAAATCGAATTACATGATACTAGAAGGATATTATAGAAAATTCAATGGATGACATATCATTTGCAATGCAGACCGATACTACGTTAGAATTTGAGAATTATTGGGGCTCAAATATATTCGAAGCACAATTTGTCGCAGTTGATAAAATAGAAAAACTCGAAGAAAATGATGAAGATGAGGGAGAAAGTAGTTGTACATTGAAAGAAAGCGAAATTATAAATAATTACTATAAAAAAAAAGCTGTTGAATTCTGGAAAATGGAAAAAGGGTCGTTACACTTTATTAACAGTACAATATCGCTTAAAGATATAATTTCACATGCCGCTAAAATGAGAGATTGAAGCGACAGATTTGTTGCTCGTAATCCAGCGGCTATGATTTTGTAGTTTGAACAGGTTCAACTACAAAACATTACCACTCAAACACTGTGTGAAACGCTGATGCTGCCGTGTTGATCATGTGTACCGAAGACACATAACCTTGCAGAATAAGGCCCTGCGCATAAAAGAGAAAATATTAGGAATAGGAATAAATATTAAATATCAGGAAAAGCAATTTGGAATTATTTTACTTCAAACAAGGGAACGAAATGGATTAATTATTTCTAATTTTTAATTTATTATGCGTTAATCCATTCCGTTCCCTTGTTTGAAGTAAAATAATTCCAAATTGCTTTTTCTAATATTTAATATTTACTCCTATTCCTAATATTTTCTCTATTGTGCGCAATGCCTAACTAAAGAATATTAAAAATGAATCATAAAAAGTAAAAATAAATCATTATAAATAATTATAAATAATTCATGCATCTTGCACTTTCTAACTTTACATATGGTAAAAGTAGCTTTATAGAGTCCATGCTCATTATGATTTTGAAACAGTAGTGCAACCCAAATTTTTTTTTTAGAATAACGTTTCTTTTGTGTTGACATGTCAAAAGTATTATAATAACAGCAAAAATTATATCATTTTGAAATTCGATTTCACGTTTTCGAATCATTCGATTACAATTCAATATCCAATTATAATATTTATTTTTTTTGGAAGCCATACCATAATTATTTACAACACGTTAATATTGAAAGTGCTAATAAAACACAAAAAACGCGGAATCTGTCTCAACTTTTAATTTCGTCGCTTTTATCCTTTTTTATGTATAAAGGTTACCGCTGTAGTAATTCAGCGACAAAAGTCGTCACGACCCTTTTTGTCGCTCAAACGATCAATTTCAGCTCGTGAAAATGCACCTTTAGAAAGGTAAAGTCCCTACCGCAGTTGTATCGATGGGAACTCTCCCTATAAAAAGGTGGTACTCATAGAAAAAAACTGGGTAAATATAGCGAATAGGGGACCCAGCCCCAATGACCTTTACCTTGACATATGTTGTCAAGGACATAATTCTGAGTAACTTTTTCTTCTAATTTAATCGTCGCTCGTGGCTTATTAAAAAGTTATTAACAAAAAAAGTTTGAAATATACCAAAGTACATGCACGGACATAAAGCACGCGCGCGCGCGTGCACACACTTGCACCCCCTCCGTGTGTGTGTGTGTGTTCATGCTTCCTGTCCACGCATGTACTTTGGTATATTTCAAACTTTTTTTGTTAATAACTTTTTAATAAGCAACGAGCGACGATTAAATTAGAAGAAAAAGTTACTCAGAATTATGTCCTTGATAACATATGTCAAAGTCAAGGTCATTGGGGCTGGGTCCCCTATTCGCTATATTTACCAAAAACTATTACAAATTTCTGAACATGTCTAGAAAAAATTTGAAGACGCTAACGACCAAAACAGAATTATTCATGATTTAATTTTGCGACAATGGGCGCTAGAAGTAAAAGATGATATTAATTTTCCTCATTTTAAAGCAGAATCAACGTGGATATTAAATTTTAAAAGAAAGCACGGCATAGTGTCAAGAAAAATAACAAAATTTATAAATCGTTCATCAAAGACAAATCAAATTGACGCTACAGAATTCGTTCGTTGGGACGCCGATTCTTTCAGGTAAAAACCCGAGGGGAATTCCAGGAAACGTTAGAGGAGGAAATCCTTGTCCATTTACCAACTTACAACTGTCAGGTACCCGGGCGGAAGGGCGCAGGTAGCCCTACACTGCCGTAACTATCGGTTTTGCATAGTGGGTACCCGGGTATCCCGGGTATTGAACGAAAGGGTGAAATCCGGATATTGACAAGAGGGTTAAACGAAACTTCGCGGACCCGAAAATTTTTATTTTGATGAAACTTTACACACATGTAGAAGGGTTAAATATATAAATTTAGAAATTTTCAGTTGCCGCCCAAAAGCGATTTTGAAGAGTGAAATCATCCCTTATGTATCTAACGGTTTTTTGTTTTTCTTGATATATTTTGAAAATTATTCAAGATATCAAAAAAGGTTTTATACAAAAGTTTCATGGTAAAAACAACTCTATTTAATTACATTATTAAAAATTTGAAAAAAGAATTTTTTTAAAAGAATTTTTCAGAGATCTTTTAAAAAAAATAATTTTTTTAAATTTTTATTAATTTGGTTAAATAGAGCTGCTTTTACCATAAAACTTTCATATAAAACATTTTTTGACATGTGAAATAGTTTTCGAGATATATCGAGAAAAGCAAAAAGCCGCTTTACATATGAGGGGTGCTTTCATCCCTTATGACTGTTTTTGAGCAGCAATTGAAAATTTCTAAATTCATCTATTGACCCCTTTTACATGTCTATACAGTTTCATCAAAATCAGAATTTTCGGGTTCGCGAGGTTCCCTTGTAAGTTTTGTCTCAAAATTAACATTTTATATGTGTATATATGTATATTGTAATTGTGAATTGTTCGCTTAATCCCCAGACGGCACACAATATTTATTATAAATATTCATAAATATTTTTTACTATTTATTTTTTGAAATATTATATAAATATTTTGTACATATTTTGTATACAGGGTGTCTCACAACCTTAGTACAATATTTTAATAGTGTATTCTAAAGATAAAATAGAGTCAAAAATTCTAATACAAAAATTTTG